CCATTTTGTGCATATTTATATTGTTTGTAATGTTTGGGTGTCTTGTCCATCAGTGTTTATTTTGATAGCATTTTAGGCATCAAATAGCAGTATTTGGATGGTATACACTTGGTGCTAGCCACTGTCTCTGGTGTTTTGTAGGTATAAATTCACTTTCCCTTCACAGAAGCCTATTAGATGACCACTACTGTCTATACAACAAAGCCAAGTCACACAGAAATTAAGTCACTTCTACAAAGTCCTACAGCTAATAAGAAGCAAATGAGACTGGACCCAGGCATGTGCCTACAGAAGTTTTTATTTAACCACTTAACATGCTACCATACACTGGGGCTGAAGGGATGGTTCAGTGGTTAAGAGTACTACCTGGTCTTCCAGAGGTTCTGAGTTCAATTCCCAGCAACCACATGGTGGCTTACAACCATCTATGATAGGATCTGATGCCGTCTTCTGGCACACAGGTAGGTGTACATGCAGATAGAGCACTTATATACATAAAATAAATCTTAAAAACATGCTACCCATCTTATGAAAGAGTAGATTTTCACTAAATTAGTAGTATTTTAAGCATTTACTTTAAAAGTAGCCTAATATGGTGGTGCACTGTAATCTTAGCACTTTGTTAGATGAAAAAAATTAAGGGTTAATAATCCACAATTCTAGATTTTCTACTTGCTTTTAATTATTAGGATAATAATTGGTCTGTTGACCTAGTTTGGGGCTCTTTATGAAGATCTTTGAAGTAATTGGGTTTGGAAGACATTGTTATTGTTCATTTCCTTTCCTTAGAAAGAAGGATCACATCCTTTAAGTGGCTAAGTGATTTTGTTCCTAATGACTGAAATTATTGATTTTGTAAAGCACAAAGCTGTAAGCATAGCGCTCATGTGGGAATACAAGGCTGAACAGTGAATGACAACTGTCTTCTCTTCTTCCTGTGGCTGAGGTGCTGCCTGTGGCCTTCCTCACTGCTGTGTGTGTGTGTGTGTGTGTGTGTGTGTGTGTGTGTGTGTGTGTGT